GGTGGTTTCCGAGTCAAAATCCAGCAACAAGCACCCAATACATTATTTTATGCAGAAAAGCACATACACACATTAATACATGCACACAACCACCCAACACGACGGCTGGTGGCGGCAGTAAGGTGACAGTCACCACCTCACGGTGGTGGTGGTGGGTTTTTCTTTGGTTTTTCGGCCAAAAATGTCCATACAACATGCCCTCATTAAAAACACGCACACACACACACCAATATACATACACACAGCTACCCACACACGGTGGCTGATGATGGCAAAAAAGTAGAAATAGCGGCAGCCACCATGGTGGTCCTCTTGTTTTTTGGCCAACAACACATGCCAAATGCACTGAAAAAACACACACACGAGCGAAAACACCACCACGCAGCTGCACTTCAATCTTGGAGGAGGGCGAAGGAGGAGGGATGGTGAATGGAGCGGTATAACAAAACAGCGGTAGCGGCGGTGCCAACAGACGGCACCAGCGACGGCAAAGCTATCGATCAGTGATGACAGTGGCGTGGCAGATGGCGAATCGGAGGGAAAAGGCGTTGCGTGACCAAGAATGACAGCAGCGGTAGCCACGACATGTTCTTCGGCGGTTTTTGTCTTCGTCGGCAGCGGTGCAGCGACGGCTTCCGATTTCAACAATGGAGGGGCGACGGCTGGAGAATAATGGGTGATAAGGTGGTGGCTGAAGAAGTGAAGTAGGGTTAGGGTTTGAATGAGAGGAGTGACGGGTTTATGCCCGTCCATTTGCAGACTTAACCCATAATTACACTTCTAGTCCCTCCCTCTTAATTCTTTTCAACTTAAATCCATAATTTACAAAACAGCCCTCAACCTTCAGAATTTATCACAATTCAAGTCCAAAAGTTACAACTTAACCCTCAATATTCACAAATATAACTTTTAACACCTCGATGCATACACCCCACTAATTAATACGACTTAGGGCTAAAATACAATATAAAAAAACACGTCTCGGGGTTTTAGGGTTTATTATTTATTTACTTATTTTATTTAATTTCAAACGGAATGTTACAATAAGCGGAAAAATCGACGTGTTGTGCTCTAAAGCTTGAAAATCCTAATTGAAATGTCGATTCCGATAATGTACATGGGTGTACGTATGTATATATTACCTATAATTTGGTAAATATATGGTAATTGATCTACTATATAGTTGTGAGAAAAATAAAGCGGAAAAAATGATGTATAGTAATCGAAAACTTGAAAGTTATAATTGTTCCGTTGGAAATCCGTTGGTAATTACCAACGGATTAGCGACGGATTGTCATAATCCGTTGCTAATTACCGACAGATTTCCGATGGAATAGTTTTAACTTTCAAGTTTTCGAACACCATACCTCGCTTTTTCCACTTTTTTTTCTCAGACATATATTATATGTTTAACAATTTATCGCTAATTTACACATATGTACACCTGTGTGCACCATCGGAATCAACATTTCAATTATAATTTTCTAGTTTTTAAGCACAACACGTCAATTTTTTCGCTTTATTTTTCTCACGCATTTATTATACATCAATTAATACACATTAACAAGTTATAGACAATTGTAATTACTTATTATTATTATTATTATTATTATTAATTATTATTATTATTATTATTTTATATATATATATATATATATATATTATGGAAATTGTTTCTTATGAATAGTGAACTTCCATAATTTTTGTCTATTTTAGTCCCTGGACTTTATGTTGTTTTTTTGGCAGAATTGGTCCCTCTACTTTGGCAACTTTGGTCCTCATTTTTTAGCCATTTTGACACTTTTGGTCCTTGTAATCGATATTTTTACATTTTTTAGGAACCTTTTAATATTTAAAGTTTGGCCACAAAACTTTAACGGTTTGACAACTTTGATCCCTTTTCTATTTAGGAACCTTTTAATATTTAAAGTTTGGCCACAAAACTTTAACGGTTTGACAACTTTGGTCCTCATTTTTTAGCCATTTTGATACTTTTGGTCCTTGTAATCGATATTTTTACATTTTTTAGGAACCTTTTAATATTTAAAGTTTGGCCACAAAACTTTAACGGTTTGACAACTTTGATTCCTTTTCTATTTAGAAACCTTTTAATATTTAAAGTTTGGCCACAAAACTTTAACGGTTTGACAACTTTGGTCCTCATTTTTTAGCCATTTTGACACTTTTGATCCTTATAATCGATATTTTTACATTTTTTAGGAACCTTTTAATATTTAAAAGTTTGGCCACAAAACTTTAACGGTTTGACAACTTTGATCCCTTTTCTATTTAGGAACCTTTTAATATTTAAAGTTTGGCCACAAAACTTTAACGGTTCGACAACTTTGATCCATTTTCTAAAAACTTGCTAATTCCTACCGCTTTAATTCTTTAGCCATTTTGACACTTCTGGTCCTTGCAGTCAAAACTTTTACATTTTTTTCATATTTTTGGCAGAATTGGTCCCTCTACTTTGGCAACTTTGGTCCTCATTTTTTAGCCATTTTGACACTTTTGGTCCTTGTAATCGATATTTTTACATTTTATAGGAACCTTTTAATATTTAAAGTTTGGCCACAAAACTTTAACGGTTTGACAACTTTGATCCCTTTTCTATTTAGGAACCTTTTAATATTTAAAGTTTGGCCACAAAACTTGAACGGTTCGACAACTTTGATCCATTTTCTAAAAACTTGCTAATTCCTACCGCTTTAATTCTTTAGCCATTTTGACACTTCTGGTCCTTGTAGTCAAAACTTTTACATTTTTTTCATAAAAACATGAACAAAACGGTCCGGGGCAAAGCCCGGGCATGTCATCATTGCACTTTCTACGTCTGTCATATTTATCGATTCGGAAACAATATTGAAAGCTTCTGGCCCCCGCGTAGCGGGGGTAACCTTTCTAGTTATTATTATTATTATTTATTAATGCCAATAGTTATGATAAATAGTAATTTATATACTAATTAAAGCACAATGTTCTTATGAACAGTGTATGTGGTAAAAAGAATTTACACCTTTTTTACTGTTATCTGTGTTCGTTTTTTTTTATTTATTATTTTTTTTACTGCTTTTGCTTAAAATATCTTCCCCATCGACCAGTTACTTTACGCCTCGTTCCCTGGTTTAACGAAAGAAAAGAAGAGAAGAGAAAAAAAAGTCACGAGAGAAAAGAAGAGAACGGAAAGGAAAACAAAATTTTCTTTTGTGTTCCTGAGTTGGAGAGAAGCGGAATGAAAATAAATCATTTTGTTCTTTCTTTCCAAATCCTCTCAAATTGGAAGGAAAATTAGGAGGGAAAGTAATTATCCCATTTCCCTTCACTTCCTTCTAATTCCCTCCTTTAATCAAACTCGGAACACCAATTTCATTTATTTTCTTTATCATTTCCACCCATTTCTTTTTCCACCCATTTCTTTTTCCTTTCTCTACTTGAACTCGGGAACAGGGTCTTAATCCTCCGTCGAACCACCGCCTCAAGTACCTCGATAACCAATATTCTCTCAAATCCCTTTTCATCTTTCTTTAGAGCTCGATCGATCGACATGGCCTCGACGGAAAAAATGAGAGCGTGCCCACCGGAAAAGGTAGCGGTCGTAGGAAAGGACTGCCGAAGATACAAACGCAGAAGAGACAGAACACGATTTGTCTCGCTTTTCAATCTCTCATTTGCTGCGTAATCTGCTTTAACCAAAGAGACGCTCCATCGTCAATGACGGCGTGTTGATTCCTCGGTGTATCCGACTCTCCATTGTTCTCTCTCACCGTTACCGTCGACTTTACCTCAAGTGTTTTCGAGTTGTTGAGTTCGGCTTCCACAAATACGCTCTGCGTTGTCTCTTTGCTCCTACTAACAGTTTGAACTAAGGTATTGTTACAGTTCTATTTTCTCCTCTGTCCACAGGGTCGTATTCTCCAATTTGCAATGAACACGAAGGCACAATCCGATTTGGGTATAACCACAGCCTATATGAACCCTAATTTTTTATTTTCGTTATCTTACCCCTACTTGCTTCTATGTTCTTGATTTTGGAGTCGACCAAGACCAACCCTACCAGAAGAGTCGGTATTGGATTTGATTTTGGGTGTTGAAGGCTTAATTTGGGGTTTTTCAACACATGTCTTAAACATAAGCAGATGGAAACCTGTCTTTGGACAAAAGAGGTAAACTTTGAACATTTGTTTCATTAATCTTATAGTTTTTATGATTTATACAATTTCATTATGTTCTATGTTCGAAATCACCCCGGTTAGTTCATTTGGATGATAATTAAAAAAAATATGTTTTCATATGCTTTTATTTGAGCTAATAACATAGTTAAGTAAATATCATGACTAATAACGAAATTCGATTCTGTTCACATCTTCCACCGTATTGTAATCTGAAAATTAGCTTCTTTTTATTATGCGTTAATTGGATTTCTTGTACCAAAACACCCTTATCTTTTGGATTGGACTAGAGCACCAGCAACTATTGGTTAAAATGATGATTTGTTCTTTGTAATATTGAAGGGTAATCTTGACATTTAATATGGTTGGTTATGACTGTTAAATTTTTGTTATCAGTTAGTAGTTATATAAGTCACTTATATGGTGGTTAAAGGTAGTTATAGCGGTTAGAATTAATTGTCATCTTGAAGGGTTGTGATGGTTGGAGGTTGCCTATATATATATATATATATATATATATATATATATATGTATAAGATTTATGTAATTAGTGTCTAAGTTAATAAAAAATGTGTATGTTCCTATGTTAACAAAAATCTCGGCCTACACACATATCACAGAAGAGTGTTCATGTCCTTTTATGATTGTTAACTCCAACATGCATAAAAGCAGTTGCAATCGGAAAAGTTATTGAATTTGGTGCATGATGAACTTTATGAGAAGTAAACTTCAATAATATATCAACTAATACATATACATTAAGGATGAGAGTATGAAATATATTTTGTATTGATTTTGATTTGTTAATTTTGGCTGCAGTAGCTCAAAATGGTAAGGTACTCCTATCCTGAATAATTGATTAACATTCCAATTTTATGTCCTTTTCTTTTATATATTGCATTTTATAATAACTTTTTTCTTTTATATTGAAATAGCTATTGAGTGGACTCTCTTTGCTTGCTTCTGGACAAATGCACGGATCTGTAGCACCACTTCTCAACTCATGGTAAGAAGGATGTAAGCATGGATCTGTTGTTAGTGGTGGACAGGTAGAAAAAAAAATATAATTTTTAAAATCAACTATGATTTTATTAATATTTACTACAAAAAAAATGATTACTATGTAAAATATTCAATATTTCAGACAGTATGAGAAGATATTAAATTTTGTTCAAACAACCGATTTTGGTCCTTATTTCAAACTACTAGGGACCAAAAACTGAAAAATATTTCAATTATTGGCTAATGATTAATCCATTGTAGCAATATCTCATTTTGATCTAATCGTTGTAAGGCCAGCCCCCGTGCTTGGATGGCATTCATCTTTTATTACTTTTATTATTATCAATTTATAATGTTGTACTTACATTAATGCTATAAATGGTACTTACTACTTAGTACACTTACTTTATTGAACAAAAAAAGACAATTTGGCCCGGTGATATGAACTTTTACCATTTACACAGGTTACACATTATTTAGGGGTGAAAATTATGTCTTTTGGGGTGGTCGTGAGGGTTATCAAACTCTTATCAGTGCTGATATGGAGAGAAGGCTTGACCATATGGTAAATTTTTCATAAAAAAAAAATAAAAAACAATCCAATAACTATTTAATAATAGTTAAAAAATAGATATAATTATATTTTATTTGCAGACATGGTTTTTTGAAGCTGCATTAGCCTATAAAAAGAAGATTGGATTCATTGGTAATTATTATAAATACAAAAGATTTATTGTTAAAAAACTATAAAAAAGAAAGAAATTATAATAACTATAGTTATTTATATGTATGTTAGTTTTTGTTTCTCTTTTGCTTTAGGAACCCTTATTGAGCCCAAGTCTCAAGAACCCACAAAGCACCAGTATGATATTATCTCTTTTTTTTATAAGAAATTAATAAGTTTATTTATTTATTTTCAATTGTTCTCATGCATTCATATATTAATCTTAGTAGGTGTGGTTGGGATGCTGTCACATCTACTAAATTTTAAGGAAGTATCGCCTTATAGGTAATCCTTTCAATTTTTATTTTATCTAGGATCATACATTTATATGAAAGAAAATGTTAAAAACTTAAAATTGATTTTAATGACTTGCAAGAGTTTATAGATTGTAGCTAAAAACATTGTATTATGAAAAGAAATACATGTAGCACTTTCTTTTTTAAATCTTTCGATCTCCCATCTGTGCAAAATGACGAAAATGCCCTCAGGCCTCATCGTCTTCATTATGACCGAAACTAACCTAAATGGTAAAAATGCTTTCTGTTTATCCCATGGTTTAAGTGGTCCTTTTTTTATATTACTAAACTAATATCATCATATTAATTTCTTTTTATTGCAGAAAATTGGTGCAGACCCGTTAAAATATACCAACAGATCCTAAAAGTCATCGCAGACGACGGATGAATATAAGAGATTTTACTTTATTCGAGTATTTTATTTTTATTTTTTTGTATTAAAATTGCATTTTATGCTTTTGCTATGTAATTCACATCTAACCCATGCAAAGCATGGGCACCTACACTAGTTAATAATAATAACAAGAATATTTTAATTAAAAAAGTAAATATTAAGTTAACTACTAATTTTAATAATAGTAAATAAACTCTTTTTATAATAATACTAATAAAAAGATTGATTTATTTTATAAAAGTCTTTTGTTTGTGATTGTGTTTATTGATTAATAATACTAATAGTATAATAATTAGATGAGTTGAATTATTTGGTTAATAATTATAATATTTTAATTATAAAAGCTATTAGGTATTTAATTATTAATATTAATAATAATAATTGAGTAATTTTTATAATAATACTAATTAAAAAAATAATTTTTTTTTAAAATAACATTATGTTGGTAATTCATTATTTTCTTATTAATTATAAGTAATAACAAAAGTACTTATAGTATAATAATTAGAAAGCTGAATTATTTGGTAAATATATATACTATTTTAATTATAAAAATAAAGAATTATTTAATTACTAATTCTATTTTAATTATAAAAATAAAAAATTATTTAATTACTAATTCTAATAATAATAATTCAATTATTTTTAGAATATTACCAACAAAGAAAGTTTATTTACTTACTAGAAAAGCATTTACGTCGGAAATCCGTTGGTGATTACCAACGGATATCCTAAGTCTAAAATTACTTTTACAATCCGTCGGTATTTACTGACGGATTTCCAATAGAAATTATTTCCGTCGCTATTGTGTCAGTATCCCATCACTAAAATTAGGGTTCATATTTTTGTCATAATACCGGTGGAATTCTGTCACTAATTTCCGATGATAAAATTCCGTCACTATTTTCCATAGGAATTCACCCAGTTTTCTAGTAGTGTAATAGTGAGTCCTTTATTCAACGGCTCCCTTCTTTGACACCCTAAAATTTTGACATATTTCCTATCATTCATTATTATATATATATATATATATATATATATATATATATATATATATATTAAAGTTATGGAAGAAAACAATAATGAAGTTGACATACTTTGTCCAGGTTTGGTCCCTTGATTTATATATCCGGTCCCTGTACTTCTTTAATTAATTTATTCATGTTCTTTTGTTTGTGTTCCATTCAACTTCCCATTTTTTTGGCAGAATTGGTCCCTGTATTATTGTTGGAAGTTAGGAATACTAAATTTGGATGTTTTTTTGACAACTTTGCTTATTATTCTTTACCCATTTTGACACTTTTGGTCCTTGCAATCAATATTTTTACACTTTTTTGGAACCTTTTAATATTTAAAGTTTGGCCACAAAACTTTAACGGGTTGACAACTTTGATCCATTTTCTAAAAAATTGCTAATTCCTACCCCTTTAATTCTTTAGCCATTTTCACACTTCTGGTCCTTGCAGTCAAAACTTTTACATTTTTTGTCCGGGGCAAATCCCGGACTTTTCATCCTTGCACTTTCTATGTCTGTCATATTTATCAATTCGGAAACAACATTGAAAGCTTCTGGCCCCCGCGTAGTGGGGGTAACCTTTCTAGTTTGTCATCAAGTCTTTTAATAATTTCTCTTTTCTATTAGTTACTATTAATTATTATCATTCATTTATCATCAATTTATAATCAAGTATTTTAATAATTTTTCTTTTCTATTAGTTACTATTAATTATAATTATTTAGAGTAAATTACATGAATGGTCCCTATGGTTTGGTGTAATTTGCGCATTTGGTCCCTAACTTTTTTTTTCTAACTCGGACCGTCCCTATGGTTTAATTTTATTGCATTGTTGGTCCCTGATGGACTTAAAATGACCAATATACCCTTACTTATTATTTTATTTTTTTTTTATTTTTTTAACTGATTAAAAGAAATTGTTTAATATGTATGGGTCCCACCCAAAATCCCTTCGTCCTTCTGTTGAATCTGTAGGCTTATTCATCTACCTTCTTCTTCGCTCAAATCTCACCTAATAACACCAAACCAGATTCTCTCATCTCTTTTCCTCTCTCAACTACGACGAAGTCAGACCACCATCATCTACCAAATACCTAACAACGTCATCATCGCTGTTGAAAAAATAATATAAAGATCGATAGATTCTGTAATAGTAATGTGAGTTAAATAACACAAACAATGATGAAAGATGTGCCAAATGCTTGGATTAACAAAGCTCTAGAAGAGTTCAATGTGAACTTCTCTGTAAGAGCTAGGTATGGATATACAATTGATAAACCCTAAATGATACATGCATGCAATATATTGTCTAGACGGTTACGAACTAAACATGAGAATGGACAGGACCATCTTGATAAAAAAATAAGCCTATACTATACACAATTTGACACAACATTATAAGCCCAACAATCTCCCCCTTTGTGTCAAATAAAGAAAGGAGATTCTTCTATTGATGTTGTCTTCTCTGCACCTTGAATAGCTTTGGCATCAAATTCAGAATGGTGTTTCTAACTGCAATGTACCACCTGATCATAACGGAAAAGCATTTCTGATCAGCGGCATTGTTTGTTTTGACAGCTTCAGTCAGTCCCATGATGTAAGTCAGAGATGAAGTAGAGTGCAAGTGTTTGTCTAGCAAGAAAAACATACACTTCTGAACCTTTTGATCAGTCCTCCTTTGATATAACACACTCCAATTTTCCTTTTGGATCTTGCCTAGCTTCATCTTGCTGAGATTCTTTGATTCCCCTTTAGGATTCGAAGTTGGCTTCTTGTTCAGAACCATTGCAATTTCCACGTCCATCTTTGCGAACTCATGGATGTAACACACAAGCATCATCTTTAGATGAGCTCAGATAGGCTCGTACTTTTGTTCATCCTTTAACAAGATCAGAAACAAACAAATCCAATCACGTAGATTCATGCATGGCAAATTAGCAAGTGAAAAATGATCTTCAACATGTTTTGTTCCTCGGAACCCTTTGAATTTGACATTTATGAAATGTTCAGTCGCAACAGGAGCATATACCTTCACAACAACAATCTTCTACAAACTCCAAGATTGATATTGAGGCTTTCCATACTTGAGATAGAAAGTGAATAGCTTATTATTCACATCATAATCCGAGAGTGGTGCCTTCTCAATCTTTTCAAATCACCAAAATAGAAAAGCCCTAGGAGTGATTGGAAATTCGAGTTGAGAATCAGCAGTGTTATCCAATTCAAGTGATACCGAAGGCTCTAACCAGCGGATGATCGGATCTTCAACAACCTCCTTTTGAATTCTTTTTAATGACCACAAAGGAAATAGCAATATCTGAGTTTCTTGAGTGACTTTTGCAACTCTAACTTCAGCCTCGTTTTCTTCTAACTCTTTTCGAAGATCCATAATATCATCAAGCTCCTTTTCTCGTTTTTTTCTGACAAGTTTTTCACCTTCAGAGAGCTCTTCTTCTTCTTCTTCATCATCATCAAACATAACTTTCTCTTTACCTTTGGATTCAGAAGCTTCATTATCATTCTGATCCTTGGAATTCAGATTCAGTTTTTGTTCATTTCCTTAGAAGGTTCACCAGTCTTTTTCTTAGGTTGTTCTTTATTATCTCCCCTTGTTTCGGAAGAACTACACGTTCCAAAACACCTTAAATTTTGTTCAGCATAGCGAAGAATGGCTTGAGCTTGTCTGCAAGATGTTGACATACCAAGACCGTGAGTAGTGAATCACGAGCTCAATAATATTTTACAGATACTGGTTAACCTTCGAAACACAACTCTTCAGAACAGCTTTCTCATACTCCATATCATCCAAATGCTTGTTGGCATAAGTCAATTTCACTGAAAGGACCTTAGCTTTTTTTGTCTTTTGAGCTAGTTTGTCCATGAGATTGTTTTCTGCAGATTCTTTTAGAGTAGTTCAATCTTGGACACACTGGACGCATTCAATTCGGTATTGTCAGCTTTAATTTCAACACGAACATGAGAGAGTGCTTCCTTCTCGGTTTGTAGAATGGAACCAAAATTGGCAATTACCGAGTTAACTGCTTCAGCGTTCGCATCAAAAGAACTTTAGAAATCATCCACGAACTTTGTAACCTCAGCATATAGTTTTTCGACTTTTGCGGTCGTTTTGGAAAGGGTTGACTCTGATGCTTTAATAGTCTTTGTAGCTTTAGCAAGATCTGTAGCATTCTCTTTGGTGAGCATCTCAACTGTTGTTCTGTGTGACTTCAACATGAACTCATAATTGGAAGAAGTAACTGACGATTCCAAAATAGAATCCAACTTGGCACTGAGTTGTTTAAACTACCTCTGGGTCATTGGGGCTTCATCATCTTCACTGGATTGATGGACAAAAAAGGGGCTAAAAGTAAAATACCGAAATGCTTCCTGATCATCACCAAAAATGACATATGGATCGTCATCCCTAAAAGGTGAAGCTGTAGAAGTGCTTGGACCCTTAGTAATACCAAAATCAACATATGCCCCCATATCAGATACGTTGACAGTAGATATCGGAGTACCAACAGAGGTTGTGGTGGTGGTTGTTGAATCTGTAAAGAATGAGGTTGATAGAGGAACAAAAATATGTGGTAAAGAAACACCCCCATAAATCTTTGGTAGTGGAGCAATGGTGATAGGGATAGTGGTAGTGATTGGTGTTGAAGTGGTTATGGGAGGGTATGGAGGAGTATTCATCTGAAAGAAATTAGAGACAGGGTAGAAGAAGTATGAGGAGTAGATACCTTCAGAATAGTAGTTGTAGTAGGTGGTTCCGAAGTGGCTTCTATATCATCGATTTCATTCTGAACTTGATCCCCCTCACGAATATCCGATTGGGTTCTCGACTCCGAAGCCTCATGAACCACTAGAGATGGTGGCCTCGGTTTCCGAGCAGCTTTCTTAACTTTCTTTTTAGGAGTCTTGACTACCTCAGAAGGACTAGCTTTGCCCTTTTTCTTAGCACCCCTTTTTGGTTTGTTTGCTTCATCAATTACCTTTCGTAATTCTTCTGGCATAACGCGAGCATGAGAAACAGTTCGCTTGCGATATTCGTTGACAATGGCATTGTCTGAAGGAACTCTATCCAACATCACATTCGGAATAGAACCGACAAAGCTAAACTTGGTAGGATCT